AAAATCATCTTCACTTAAAATCAGTTTCAGCAATGCAGTGTCAAACTTATTCTCAAGCAAATGTGGCATAATTTTATCTATACCTAATCTAACACGTACTGAACCTATACTAATTTAATTTTCTCAGTCTAGTTTAACATACTGTATATTGTAGCTAGTCCTAGAACTTATAGTTGACTCAACCTAATCTTACATACACTCAGCAAAACCCATTATGATCAACAGCAATAAGTTTCAATGATAATTTTCGTGGAACTTTCGTAAGCAAGAATGAACAAAATATTTTGATGCTGCGAAGTTCAAAGATTTAAATTTAAACTTCTTAGACTTATGCATATGATATGGGTTTTTATTCTCTTTAGTCTAATTATGCATTTTAATGTAAATTTTGAATTTAAAAATTGAAAATACAGTGTGCTTATATTTTGTGTTTTCATTCAGGTGAACATTTGGCTGTCTAAAGAATTTGATCAGAGAGAGAAAATCTCTTTGAATTGTAAAGTATAATAGTTATTTTTTTAAATTTTCAATTCTGTAAATTTTTAAAAATTACGTCAAAAACTGCTGTGGGCTGATGTGTTTCCTTTTTTCACTTGAGAAGAGGGAATTGTTTTTCTCCTATATTTTTGGAAGGAGATTTGATTTTTCCATGAACGCACCCTTTTTTTTTAAGTCCAAAAACCCAATAAAGACCTTTGGAGTTGAAATTTATCCCAACATATCAACCTGGCAAAAAGTATAGTTTTATACACCTGAATATCCTGAATAAATGGAATTTCCAAATGGTCAGTGTTTCAGTGGGGGTGGGGGTTTATAGAATGATTCGGAAGTATATGATGGAGAAACATCATACGTTTTATTCAATATAATTTTGCTGTGAACCTCAATTGTACTCCTTGTTTACTGATGGATAAAATTTTTAATCATATGAATAAATGCTGAAAAGCAGCAAATAAAAGCTTGTATGTGTATCAATTAAATCAACCTGATACCTAACTTACACTCAACCTAAGAAAATTACATTTTAACGTTTCAGACTCTATAAGCATTTTTGCTCCTGCTTTTGGTGGATACCATATTGACTTGAGTACCAGCACGTGCACCTTTTTCTCTCAAAATTAAGATGGATGGGAAAAGGGGGTGCGCGTCATATGTGGGTATACATTTGAAAAATGTTTGTGAAGTTGTGGTGTGCATTATATCTGATTCTAATGAGACAAATTTGAATAAATTTCAACAGAAAAACTTGTTTTAATGGAATTAATTGAATGTCAGTCAAATGCAGGATCAACTCATACGTCTAAATTCAAATTGTTGTGTTCTTATTTTTCAAATAATGTCGGTAAGAGTCACTAAAAATGGGATGCGCATCTTACTGGGAATGCAATTTTTGAAAACTTTTTGCCTGAAAACTCCTGGTGCGCGTCTTATGTACTCATGGGCATGTGGTATTCAAGTAAATGCGGTAATTGTGGAACTCTGGCAGAAACCAGTCGGTGTGTTTATGCTGTTCCACTTAATGCTGGTCGCTTCAAATCACCTTTTCAAAATTGATCCACGTAATTCCCGTTGAATTCCTGGTGCAGCTCATAGCCTTGAAGATACCGAAGCAATGGCACGTGTTGTACAACTCCATCGAACACGGCACTGCCATGAACAGGTTCCTGTTCCACGTCATGCGTTACCGGGGCCCCACCGTCCTTCTCATCATTTGCGAGACCGACAGGTTGTGCATCGCAGTTGACGAGGAGTGGAGAGACGGGCCCATCTTTTGGGGCCGAGACGAAAGCCTAGTGTTGTCCCTGACGCCCACCTACGGCCTCGTGTGTTCCGGCAAGAAAATTGTGTGCTTCAACACTAAAACGAGGGGTATTCCTCTGGGACTCACGTTGGGACCGGATCCCAGAACACCGATGGTGAGAGTGGACAAGACATGGACGACCATGGAGAAGAACAAAATCCCCTCGACCATTCGGAGGGTCGTGGTCTTCGGCACGGCATCCATTGATGTTCTGTGAGTCCCTGAATATATACATATTTGTCAATGATCTTCCACATATTTGATCAAAAGCGGTAGAGTATTGCAATGTTCCCCAACCCGTGGTCCGCGGACCAGCGCTGGTCCGCATAAGTTTTTTTTACCATTCCATAAGAAATTTGCTCAAGCATGATGAATTGATCGAAACTATCAATGAAGGACATGACAGGACATATCTTCGTCTGAATTTTTTTGAAAGACAATTTGCAGCTGAAATTATCTCATGAAAAATGAAAATTGACTCTTCTCCTATAATAACACTTCAGACAAATTTTCACCTGATGAAATGAATTATTTGGATTTTAGTCTGAGACATTTTTGTTCAAGCCCACCTTTCTAATTTTTTGAAGACATTCCACTATACTTGCTTCATTAAATTTGTTCTCAACTCTTTTTTTTTTTCATAGGAAAGCAGAAACTTTTTCAATGCACTAGTTTGAAAGTATTTCAGGCAACGCTTTTTTGAGCGTGCAAAGTTTTACAGAACTTTGCTGGTCTGACTGATAATAATAGAGGAAAAATATAAGAAGCTACTTTTCCTCTATTATATCATTCTACAGCGTGGTCTTTGAATACAGTAATTTACGAATTGGCGCAATAAAACATCTTTGGAGAACCCAACTTGTGTGTGAGTGAGAAGTATGAAAACTCTTCAAAAATGCTGATGATTTTTTACAGAAAGTGTAGCATTGCAGGAAGTATACGTACTGCAGCTTAAATCAAAATTGATTCAACTTAATTTTAGAATTTAGAAATGGATAATTTCTCAATAGAATCGCTTTTTTCGAAAGGATACTGTATTGCTTTATCTCGGGGAATAGACAAGTATTAACAAATAAATGCTCTTTTGATGCTGGTATTTTTTGTTTGTATTTCATCAGCTAATACGGTACTTCGGAAAGATCAGTATTTTTTTTAGAAAATTAAAGAAAGGAAAGGTTTGAAATAAGATCATAGCATTTCACATATAGAATTTTCTTCATTGTTTCATCAAAAGAAGTTGGAAATTTGAGCAATTCTCTGCATATATGTTGTGGAGATACTTTGAAGCCTCTATTATACATGTTTCCCACAGAATCGCAGTCCGGATTGCTAAAAGAACCATGAATCTTTTTAAAACGAATTTTCTCAGGTCATCCCCAAAACATCATGGTGATGACATTTTATTAAATAATCATGATGTAAGGGAGAAAGGTTACATAGGTTGATGGACTTCCTCTTAACTAAAATTCGAGGGACCAGAAAAAAAAATTTGCTGTAGAGGGAATTTTGCGGCAGACTTATTGTATATAGAGAATTGACAATTTGGAGAACAACTTTATGGGACCATCATACACAAAAATGTGTTCTATATATAAAATCATTGTAGACAATATTTTTGTAGATTAGGGAGAGAGAGGGAGATGATGAGAAAGCGTAAAGAAGAGAGTACGGTACATTGTATACTGTATTTGAGGGTTGTGATCTGCTTTCTGCGCACAGTTACATTCATAGTTTCGCAGGTGCTCCATTTGAAATTGACCAACATTTCAGTCGCAATGATTCATGCCATGAGCTGGGTCCAGATCGATGAGAAAACCTCCACCTAAAAACATTGCTGCTCATGTGCAGGAGAAATGGGAATGGCTCATGGAGAAAAAATTTTGTAGACCCCTTTATTTCTTGAATCTATTTTATACTGTGGTGAAAAAAGGCCAAAAAACCCACAGATGAAATTACTCGTGCGAAATTGAATTTCAAATCCCTGAATCTATGCACGTTAAAGAAATTGAAGTATACCTTCATGAACGGTAAAAGGGAAATCAAATTTTTCCCGTAAATCACCCCCTGTTCAAAGTTGCTCCATGTTAAAGCTGGTGTTTATGCCTCATTTTTTTCTGCATTCTGCCATTTCCTTGTCAGACGATCGAACATTTTTTCCAACTCTTTTGGTCGACCCCTTCGTCAGAGGACATCGTCGGAAAAATTTTATTTTCCCCGTATGATGTATATATAGTGCATGGAATTTCGGATTTTTCGAAGGTTTTAAAAACATGTTTCATGTCTTCTTGTAAATGTTAGACTTTTGAACGAAAAGTTATGTCAAATCTTATTGACTTTTCTACGCATGTATTGTATATAGAGCTGCTGTTCACTTTATTGTTTCACGCTGTTTTTTCATGGTGCCTCGTTGAAAGAATGTTCTGAGCATGGAGAATTTTTCATATTTACCTTTTCGTGACCCCTGTTTTATAGATAAAATTTGTGGTGCGAATCCAGGTGTTGCCGAGTGCTATAGTTATACAACTCGACACATGTGGAAGAAATTTCGTATCTTTAATTGAAACTCGGATGAAAACGATATTACCCGGGACGAGATTTTTTTCTGTGTAGCACGAACACTACGATGAAATAATTTTTCATGATGGACGTTGCTCGTGTATTGAAAGTCTACAATCCTTTTCATTTTTCCCATCCAGAGAGGGGCAGCGCAAATTACAGCTGGCACAGGAACGATTTGCTGAGAACAGGAGGAAAGTGGAGAGCAGAAACCGTCAGGATGAATACGACGTGGACAGGGTGATCATGGAGATGGTGAATAATGACGCACTCAGCAATGTACAGCAGAGAAGCTCCATCTCTGGTTTCCCTCGCCGATCCCGAAGAAGAAGCAGCAGTGCTATTCAACCCGAAATACAAGACAGTTTCTTGGAAGGAAGCAGTATTCTGGATAGAATAGAGAGTCAAAACCCTAATCGTAACTCATGGCTGTGATGATGCAGTCTTCAACATTTATATTGAATCTGGTTATATAAAGATAATAATAAGGCTGTCTCAATGATGTATATCAGTATATGACACATTAATCCACGAAAAGTCGATGTGATTCGGTTTTCAGTTGTGGGGGTCTTCTACTCTTTATCCACCAATGTACCAGAGTTCTGAAAATTTAATACTCTAGTTTTCCACTGGCTACACAGTCTTTCTTTTTGCTGAGAAGATTTTTTTGCGTGAATGCAGATCAGAAATTTTGTATCCAATTTAGTTGAGTCAGCATTTGCTGTACTTGACGCATACATACTTGAGTCTAATATATGATAAGCATCACATTTCCAGACATGTGTCATTTCTCTTTCAGGATATACTGTATATAGGAGACAGTATCTGAGAAAAAAAGAACTTGGGTGCCGTGCCGAGGTCCACAAATTCGTGTAATGCAGTTCCGCTCTCTCCTGTTAACCCTAAAAATCAAACCTTCCCAGGTTAAATACAGTACCTCAGTATAATTTGTTTAACCCTCTCTGAATTACCTGATAGAAACAATGTGTTGAATACTGTAATGCCTCCCTAACTTGAAGGCTTTCCCTCTCAAACCACAATTACTAAAATTTTCTGGAGTGCTTTTGCCATTATTTTATTGACACAGGAGTGACATGACAGAGAAAAGCTATGAAAATGTAACTTGATGTGATTTTGAAGGAAGTGACAGACTGATATTGGGTAACTACTTGCCTCCATCAGCAAGTTCAGAACCTAGCTGTCATCTAATTTATAATGTAACCTGAAGTCCAGAATATCACTGATTACAATTCCCTGTAATTCTTCTGATTTCCCCAACAAAAATGTCTGTTTCGCACTCACTAGAAATTTTCCTAAAACAGTAATATTCTGCTGGTCCCTTGAAATTTGACTGAAAGATATGGACTATAGATTTTCTAGTACTGTACCTGTATACAGCAGGTGGACTCTCTACAACAACAAAATTTAAGGGAACAAAAAAACTTCGGTGTAGCAATGATTTAATTATAGGGCACCCTACAACATTGGGGGGGGGGGGGGACACTGGGTCCAGAAATAAAAATCTTGGTGTAAACTGTACAGAGAATATTGCTGTGTAGACAGGATCATTGTTGAGAGAGTCCATCCCTGTCAATGGTTATGCACGGTCATTCAAGGGAAGTTTATTTGCCCATCACTTCACTAGATGTCGGCTTTAGTTCGTTTTGAGAGTGAAGATGGATAGATGGAATTAGCAGTAAGATGTAGCTGTTCCAGCAGCTCCGGATTCGGAATAATCTGGGAACACGATAATCCTAATGTGATGTGAGTTGCTTTCGTTCACGCGATCGAAGTCAATTATGGGCAATTCATCGAGCGGTGGACTAAAAGATCACATCGCGAATGCTCAGAAAACCGGTATTCTTCAGCTTGCCCAGCGTAAGCTGACGAATGTGCGTGCTTTCCATTCTTTTCCAATGTTTCATCTGTCAAACTGATCAGTCGTGGTTCTTGAACAGGTCCCGCCGGAAGTTTTAGAGCTTTCGGCGAATTTGAAGACTCTGGATCTTTCACAGAACAAATTGAAAGATATTCCGCCACAATTTGGCTCATTGAAAACTTTGCGAAATTTGAATGTGTCGGAGAACAAGTTAGGTGAGGTGCCGTTGGAAAAGTACTTTTTTTTTGGCGGTAGCCTGTATCTGATAATACATTTATTCCATTGGCGTTAAAAGAGAGTCTACCGGACGAATTGGGTAGCTTGATCAAGCTGGAATCGTTGATGGCTTCGAAAAATCATCTGAAGTCACTTCCGAATTCGCTTTCGAATTGGAAAGCTCTGCGAAAACTCATTTTAAGGTAATTACTGCGGCACTCGAAGACGATAGATTTATTACAGTGTTTCACGATTTGTTTCCTCTTTGTAGTGATAACGTATTGAACGAATTCCCAGAATTCGTCTGTCAGTTACCGAATTTGGATATTGTCGACCTTTCCGGAAACAGCATTAATTCCATTCCGGATTGTGCCGGAACTTTGTCAACGACTGAATTGAATCTGAACCGAAATCAGGTTTGTGTGAAATTGTTGCACAGCTTCCGGTAATTTGGAATATTCTCATTAAATTCAGGTCTCCTCCATTTCGCCTCTGTTGGCGAAGTCCGCACGCCTTAAAAGTCTCCGACTTGAAGAAAATTGTTTGTCATTGTCAGCGATCCCTATCGAATTACTGAAAAATTCAAATGTCAGTTTGATGGCTGTGGAAGGGAACCTTTTCGCCATGAAAGAGTTCATTGAAATTGACGGTTATGACGAGGTAAGCTTGTTCCGTATGATTTTATACTGTGTTTAATATAACGCTCTTTCCAATTAGTACATGGAGCGGTTCACTGCAACAAAGAAGAAATTTGGCACCTGAGACGTTCTGAACCAAGAATCGGTGGATTCGTTGCCGTGCAAGGGAGGTGTCGTGGGATGAGCAGAAATCAATCGGTAAAGATATAATCGTGCCCGTTGAGTTGCCTCTTTGTTGCAGATTCATCGCTGAACAGTGCGTGAATGTTAAGAATCCTTAATTGTTTTGGATAATCGCTCGCAAAACGATATGATAGGTTTTCTAAACACGCTGATCATTCCAGTTTCATCGAGTGCGAGTCACACCTAAAGCTGCTATTGCAGAAGAAAACGTATTCAGTTCGTCGAAAGCTCGTTGAAATACTTAAGCCTACACTGGGAAAGGTCATTGCAGGATTACATGATTGGAAACTATTTTTCCTTTACTTTTCGTGATCGAACATTTTCTATGCGATGTGCTATGATTGTGTTGGTACTTCGTAGTGCATATGGAGTTGGATACGATTGTGGAAGAAATAATTTTGATGTCTTGTTCCTGTGTGTTGAGATGGCTCGTGTACATCTTTTATGGATGTTCTCGACTGAGTGTTCTTTCTATTTTTGTATTTCCAGGCTACTTTCGTGAACCGTATTCCGGAATGTGTGTCGATGACTTCGAAGTGCGCGATTGCCGTACATCTTCGTGGAAAGTGTCATTAGATTTCATCGTGTTTTTGTCTGTGACGCGAAATTTTTAGGGAGATGAGTTATAACAGTGGGGGTTATGGCCGAGGTGGCGGCGGCGGAGGAGGAGGATATGGCCGTGGAGGCGGCGGCGGGGGATATGGCCGTGGTGGCGGCGGCGGATATGGAGGTGGTGGTGGTGGGTATGGGCGAGGGGGTGGCGGCGGCGGAGGAGGATACGGTAGAGGCGGCGGTGGATTCGGACGAGGCGGAGGTGAGTCGCGACTTGATCGAGTTGGTTGGTCGCCGCGTTGACTGTTGAATTACGTGCAGGTGGTCGGGGAGGTTTTCGAGGCGGTTACCAAGACCAAGGACCTCCAGAAACAGTGAGTTTTAATCTGCATTCTTCCTTCTTATAAGTGTTACTTCGTCGATTTTTATATTTTTTTCAATGCTTAGCTTCTGGAATATTGATAACGCAAGCAAACGTATTCTTGTTCGGGGTGCTGGAGAAAATCCCGCGGCTCACAAATCCCACGGAGTACCAAAATCTGTAGAAAATTACATACCCTAGTTTATATTCAAAGCAGAGATTAAGTGAAGGCCAAATGTTTTTCAGGATCTGGAGAAAGGTACATTAATTATAAATTTTCAAAATGGTTCGGAAGGAACCCCATAGACACATTTTTACAATTCGGTAGTTGGGAGATTTTTGTTCCCATGAGGTTTTACTTGTTTCATACTGTAAATGATAATTTTTCTTTACACCTTCGCCTTCTTCAGTTACCAGAACTTGCTTTTTGATGCCTAAATGCACATTGCCGGATCTTTGTACCCTACAGGATTTTCTCATGAAGCCCTGGATCGACTCGCTAATCAGCCTTACCGAACCCCGATATAATTTATTCTTTGCATGATTTCATGCTAAAGTCATGAAAAATCTACCCATTATGTGCTTGAACCTAACGTGAACACGAAAGCCTTGTGGGGCAGCTTCAATGCAGAAGAATTCAACTCTCATTGGTTGTTCGGTTTGCCTTTTGATTTTGATTTTTTGTCTTGCAACTTTCATAGGTCGTTCAAATCGGCTCGGTATCACATCCATGCGAAGAGGACGTGGTTGTCAAGTGTGAAATTCAAGACGTGCCTTACTTCAATGCACCGTTGTTCCTTGAGAATAAAGAGGCCATCGGGAAGGTCGACGAAATATTTGGAAATGTCAAGGACTACTGGATCTCTGTTAAACTTTCCGAAGGGATGAAAGCGAGCTCGTTTGAGAAGCTTACGGGTGTAAGTACGATCCTCACCAGTGTGATTCGTAGTCGAAAGAAACTGGGTTTTATGCAGTACAGTATTATGCATAATCTTCAGGTTCTGTTCGTACTTCGAAGAAAAACAAATCTAGAACAAATTTTCTCGTGAATACCTGCTTCGATGTTCAAATCAATTTTCAAAATGTTCCTCGTCGATTTGAATGCATATTTACGCCAACCTGAGGTGCTATTTAAAAGCAATCACCGATGCGGAACCCTCAGCTTGTGTTTCGATAGAATAATTTTTCAATAGTATGGATCATTTTCGTGTATTCCAAGAGCTGCAAATCAATTAGCATTTCTTAAATTTCAAGAAATGAAGTTTTTTAATTTTCTTTTTTTCGAATTGTCTGCCCCCTTCGTTTAGCAGGTTTAAGGTGAGAAATATGCGAAGACTAAAAGCTTCGAAGCAAACCTTGCTATTAACCAAAAAGCGAATTTTATCAATGATGCGTAAGACCGGCTGAATGTCGTGTGGAAATAGTCTTACAATAGTGGTCAAGCAAGGTGCGAATGCAGGGTGTCCGAAAACGTTTCGGACACCCTGCATTCGCATGATGAGACATATGCAAGGTGTCCGAAAACGTTTCGGACACCTTGCATATGTCTCATCATAAAAAATAAACCGATTAACAACATTGGCCATTCTCCGGACATCCGGTAACGTACTGTACTGCGTTGTGCATTTCCTCTTGATCAACAACATAGGGAAGAAACTCTTTTTTAACAATGTTAAGATGGCAGGTATAGGAACTGTGTATGACTGCCGAAGCGTGTCTGGGTTACTGTTGATTGTGTAGTCCGTGATCCAATTCTCATTGAACAGATTCCGAGCGGTACCCATATTTGTGTATTGTATTGTGAATAAATCGATTCGTCATAAACGTTTCAGATTTTCATCGATCCCCAAAAGCTTTTACCGGCCTCACGGTTTCTTCCGGGGAACGAGACCCGGGGTGGTCGCGGGGGAGGAAGAGGTCGAGGCGGCCGAGGAGGGCGAGGTGGCGGAGGACGCGGAGGCGGTGGTCGCGGCGGCTTTGGTCGGGGTGGCGGCGGCGGCCGAGGAGGCGGTGGTGGCCGAGGATTCAGAGGCGGCGGTGGCCGGGGACGAGGACGTTTTTGACTGTTTTTCCCCGTTCAATTCTTGTTTTCGACGAAAAAAAAAACTGCAGTTGCGAATTCGTGTTAGAAGTTTTATTTGCTTAATCGTGTTACTGAGAATATCCAAGCTGTTCCTGATTTAGAACGGATGTCCGTTCTATTGGATTCTGTGGAACGGTCTCCTGATGTTGAAATTTCATACGCGTGTCACATACTGTACAGTAGTTCACTTTCTGTAGCAAATGTGATAATTTCGAATGTGTTGATTTCATGTTGCTGACTCCCTAAATTCTAATTATCTTGTTAAATCGAAGAAATAAGTGAAAGCTAAGAAAAACGTGAGTACTGTATTATAGTTTATCACACTGATGTGAACTACTGTATTGATGTATCACGTATTATGGAAACATGGCAGTATGGAAACATGAAAAAGCAAAAGAAAAATTTTGGGCAATATGCAAGGATAGGCGAGGATCAACGGGAACTGGAGCGTGTTTCCTATATAACGGGGATTGCATTGACTGTTGGTGGAAGTAAGTTTGACCTAAATTTACGAAAAGAAAAATTCAGGAAGATGAATCCAGAACTTCACATTCTGCGTCTTGGACAGTTCCTGAGCTTCCAAATACTCGCAATGGTTTGTAATTATTAACAATGAAAATGACTGAGATATTTGGTGCCTTGGTTTCTCCGTGAAAGGTAGTACCGTACGTCGTTTCACAAGCAGTACGTGTACGATCCTGTCCTAAAAAAGAAGAGGGCATTCTTTACAGCAATTCTTTTGATCAAACCTTCCATCAATTTTTTTTACTGTTCTCCCCTTGCTGTTGGGTCATGCATTCATCACTATATTGACCAGTTGAATTGCACACATAACACGGATGAGGTGTACATGCTCAAGTACACCAGCTAACCTTTTCTTTAGGCAATTCTGCTTGCCAGAATGATGAGGGCTACAGAGAAACTGACCTGAGCTTCAAATACTGTAGAAACTCCTCTTCAAGAATTTGATCACAAGAAACTTTTTTTTAAGTCCCTGTCCAATATTGCTGCTGCTGATAATTGAGTTATTTACTTGAAACTATTTTTCAATGAAGCTTTTTTCACTGGTCCAAATGGATTCATTGTAATTAGATTTTATCATATCATGATGAACCCTTTTCCTGTGTTTCCATGTGAGTGCTGATACTGCTGAAGGACAGAAGGAGCATACAGTATGCCAATCAATTCCTGTGGACAGGAGTGATGCAGCAGCACTTTCATTGTCACCACACACGGGATTTCAAAATTATGTTATGAATGACCCATTATGGTTGACGTATTACTCAAACCTACAGGGAGTACTTTCGGAGATGAGATTCCTGAAATAACGTGTGTGCTGGTCACATGAGAAGGCACATTTTCTCTACTATGGTATCACTGGTGGACGGACTTCTCACTGTATCATGCATAGCATTACAGGCGTATCAAATAAATATTGTGTGCGACGCATAGGTGGCGTTGCAGACTGTAGGTTGTTCGCTGACCGTGCAAGATGGTGAACGTGCGGCGCTGGTTATCCTTGAGGTGACAAAGCCGGAAATTTTTCTATACAACATTGTACAGTAGTGGAGAAAGAGCCCGCGTAGACGCAGGTCCAGTGGATGAAATTTTAATTTTAGGTCAGCCACTTATCGTGTTGAAACACACTTCGTTAGACAGTAGCGGAACAGTGCGTATGGGTCTATAACGACGGTGAAAATTTTTTCGCGAAAGATGTGGATAACTGAAATAATGTTCAGCATTTTCCCACCGGTAAAGGTGAAAATTGGATGCGTCGATTTTCTCGAAGCGCAGAATTTCAGAATTGACGTGAATGCGGTGCATATTACCTCTTCCGGAGAAGTCTGACGCTTGGTTTTATTTTATTTACAGTTCGCGTGACTCCGCACAACTTCTCTGACCTTCATTCTCCTGAGCTCTTCTCTCCTTCCCTGATCACCGGATTTTTCCAAAATGGAATCTAAACAAGCGAAGAGCTTGACCTCAGCCCAGAAATCAGTTCCTGAAGTGAGAGCCACTGGCCAGAAAGAATTCCCTGGATTTGATTTTGTCGATCAGCACAGTTCAGAAGAAGAGCTGGAGTGCATCAATGGTTCCGTGAGCCAACCAACCTCTCGCTCCTCCTCAGTTTGCGGCGAAAAGCGCAAGTTTTCCCGCGCGTCGTCTGCATCATCAGAGGACGAAGAAGTGAAAAGTGATGCTCGCCGAGTGCCTTTGGAATTCCATTCCAAACCACCCGCGAATGTGTATCGCCCGCAGTCTTTCACGTTCGTAACCGATGACAGTGACAACGCCGAGTTGATCTCTGCAAACGAATCTGCTTCACCACGGAAGCGCCACCGTCATCTCCACCGAATACCTCGTCCTTGTCTCGACTTCGAAAAGATGCAGCAGGTAATATGCACGTGACTGTCTTAAGATTCAACACTTGAGTCCACTTTTAAGTGTCCTGAAAGTTGATGACATCGACTTCGCATTGCACTGCGGTGAACAAAAGTTGGATGAAATGTAAAGTCACCGCGAGTCGGAGTTTCGCATGTTCTCCTTGATTATTAGAGCGTTAGATTTTAGTTGTCTCATGTGAGCATTATTAGTCGCTGCTTGGCGTTCCTTGTGTGTCGAATTTGACCTGTGAAGTTCAATTCTTCTTCATGCGAATATATAATCGAATTTGGTTTCATTTTTCCGCAGAAGAAAGCGAGGAACGTAACTACGTGGCGCCATGGCGGCGAACTGACGCTTCCGTGCTATTGATTTACCCGCTCGAGCCCGTCTGGAATGTGATCGTCGCGCAGATCTGATTTGTAAAACCTCGGCACCCAATTTTTCTAGTCCCATCGACAACTATTTGTTTCGAGCAGCAGTTGCTTGCCAAAAAGTTCAAAGCTCGTCCCCACTCGATATGCTCGCCAATCCTGCACTGTGGACAGAATTACATTAATTCAGACCTTGTCCTCACCTCAGCGATGTGTTTCTTCCGTCCTGTTCAGTCGTCTGTGATCTGTACGATTAGGTATCCTGTCCGCTTCCTTGATCTCATAAGTTTGACCTAACTTTTTGCTGGACACCCGTAGAGATCTCGGGGTGAGTTTGTATGTGTGTGTGCACTTCGGCTTTGCTTCTACTCGTCTTTTTGTTTCTTTCTAGCATAATCCTTTCTCTGCTCTGTGAAACGAATGGCTGTGGAACATTATGGTCTGAACGAAATATTTGTCTTTAAACCAATCGTATCTATAAAAAAACTAGATTTGACAGAAGACCCAAATTTGTTTCTCTTCGAAGGCACTGTCCGTTCCATTACAAAGTTCATAAGCACCCATGCAATTCTTTGGGGGAAAGTTCATTTTCTCTGTGTTCTCGTGCGCGTTTTAATCGTAAATTAATTTCTGCTTTCGCGAAATACAATCCTCGGTCTGAAACCATGAGAATATCATCTTCAAAGTGTTCACTTATCAATGTTTCCGCAGTGATCGAGCTCATATTCCACCTCTTCTCGCGTGAAAATTGTTCGTTCCTCAGTTGAGTCAATTGCCTCTACGCAGTAATGCAGGTCCGAGTTCTGAATTTTTCGGATGTTTTACCTCGTTCTGTGGTACAAAAATATATACCTGTACAGTATTCGAATGTCATTTTCCAGTGCTTTCATCGGATTTTGTGTTGGAGGAAGTTGTCCGAATTAAAAGACTAATTCGAAAGTTTTGCAAGGTGTTCTGGACACGTTCAGCTTATGTCCTTGAGATATTCCAAATTGTAAGGTTCCTGAAAAAGCATCCTGATCTGAAATAAATCCTGTCGGGGACAACTTGTAAATAGCTTCACGCTTACATTGTTTGTAGCACTTTTGAATGCCATGAGGTAGTTTTTGTGAAGTGAGCGGATGTGCACACTGATTTTCAGAGTACTGTATTGAAATCACTGAAGAAATGAATGATCGAGGAAGCTGAGGATCCCTGTGAGACGTCTGTTTTTCGAAACGAATGTCTTGATATGTATGAAATGGTTGCATTTGTCAATAATTCCTTGCAGACTGTCAGAAGAAGTAGACTGAGAAATGGGTGAAAAGAACGGAGTTGAACACGCTAACGTCGTGAAACAAATCGAGTATTACTTCGGTGATGTGAATCTAGTGCGCGATAAGTTCCTTCTATCTGAAATCGCAAAAAATGATGGCGGTTGGGTAGACGTGGCGGTGATGATGAAATTCAATCGGCTGTCAAAGTTATGCGGCGGTGTTGAAGACTCTGTTTTGGACGCTGTAGAGGGGACGGGTGAAGAAGGACTGTTGGAAGTTGACCGTGAAAACCGAAGGTTACGTCGAAAATTGTCTAAGCCTTTACCCGAAGACAAGCAGAAGTTTTTGAGCGAAGCCGCTTCTCGTTCAGTCTACCTCAAAGGGTTCGACAAAACTTTAGAACAGGATGCTGTTGAGAAGTTGCTGGAATCGCATGGACCTTTCGAAAGCGTATTTGTGAGTAACAGAGATTTCGTGAAAGCCTGCTCTTCATCCCCAGCTGGGACTGATAATTTGCTATGCGATAGAAAAATCAAAAAATTGATCTCAATGTGTTGTGGAATTTCTATCGAACTGCATCGAACATGAAAAAACTTCCGTTTAGACAAGAACGTTCGTCTCAGGACTCCGTCGAAGATCGAATTTTTTTCGTAACAGAGCTCAAGAGAGCAATAATCATTGAGGTTATTGAACCCAAATTTAAACGGACCCATGTTTGATTTCGGTTGAAATCAAAATACTTATATAATAATAAGTAAGGTCTGCCAAACCTGAAACGATTCGTCAATGGGATTGAGTAGCATAAGTTCAAATTAGGGATTGTATTTCTTTCTGCTCGGTAGCCTTCGAATGCTTGGTTTCATTTGGAATCTATTTGTTTTAATGAACCCTTTGACGCGTGTGTTGTAAAAAATCAATGAGAAGCGAAATATATACGAGTACCTGTTTATTCAAGCGGGAATATACAGTACAGTATTTCAGTTTTGTCACAAGTTCCAAGTGTGTGATAACGGAGGATTCCTTGAGAGCTGAATTTTAATGCAATCGTGGCAAAAGTAGAATACGAAAAGTAGTTTGTCCATACAGTTCCATTGTTTCTGAGGGAATCCATGCATTAAAAACTTCCCGAACTCTTTCCCCCTTAAACGTCGTGATTCGAATTTTATGGAGGCTTTTTGGCTATTATTCTATTGAGACAGGGGAAAGAAAACCCTTAAAAATGTAACGATATTTTTTGAAAGGAAGTGGAACATTATTTTGGTAATGAACCCTTTCCTTCGAGTTCAGCATCCTGTCAACTCACTTGAGATGCAATTTAAGGCCAAAAATATCAATTACAATTTCCTGTAATTCTTGTATCTTTTGTTCTGCTCACTCCAAACCTCTCTGAATGAACGTTTTTTTTTTTTGCTGGTCCCTTGAAATTCGACTCAAGAGGGTTGACTGTATTTTGATTGATCAGAACATTGCAATTATGGGCTAGTTGAACGATTGTTCTAATCTGATTCATTTTATTCGTTTTGAACAGCTTCGTCGATGGAAGGACACTGAAAGCAAGATGCACTTCAAGGGTTCAGTAATGGTCACCTTCCCAAGCTTAGAAGCAGCTGAGAAGTTCATGGCACTTCCCGAGGTGAAAATAAACGAGGAAGCTTTAGAAAAGAAATGGAAGAACGACTGGAGCCTTGAGAAGGAGGAAGAACATCGAGCTCGCATCGATCGGTTCAAACAAAGAAAACTCGAGAAGAAGAAGCCGTCGAATGCCGCCTCAACGCCGCCGAAGAAGCGGAAAATCGAGGAATTCGGTGAGAATGACGAACGTCCCGAAAAGAAGCAGAAGAAAGAAGGCGACGAGGATGACGAAGAAAAGCAAGAAAATGTTGAACCGAAGGAGGACAATATGGGAATGTTGCCGGGGTCTGTGTTCAAGCTCGATGGGATTCCCTCGGAAGGAGTTCATGTCCGGGACTTGAAAAGTGTCTTGGGCAAAGTTTTGAAAGATGACATCGCTTACATTGCGTTCGAGTCCGGTGACACCAGTGCTGTTGTTCGCCTGAAGGGACAAGACTCCGCTTTGAAGGTATGTCTTGAAATTGTCTGGTCAAGTGAATATTTCCTAGGGGCACCTATTTTGTTTTTCACCTGTTTCAAAAGGCATTGGAGTCTATCAAAGCGTCTGAAGAAAAGCTCGAAGTGAAGGACACTGAGTTAACTGCATCCGCTATGGAGAAGGAAGAAGAGGAAAAGTTCCTGACCGGCGAGCGTCTCAAGAAGAAAGAGTTGCAATCTAAGATTAAAAATAGTAAGGTTCATTTCTCTTTTTTCTATTGGTTTCTCATTGGTTTCTCGGATCTGCAAATATTTTCAAATACGCCATAATGTACGGCTTCCGTTGATCCAGAAATTGGTCAACCATTAGCCTAGTCCATTTTTTCACCGATTTAATGGAAGACTCTGCGAGACTACTGTATTTCATGTTCGATTTGTTTCAGGGAAATTCGGAGAAAGGTTTCTCATTCTAATTAAATACCGTATTGTATGAAATTACTATATGAAATCATATTATTTATTTTCTTAATTCGTGAACCTTCCTCTATACTCTCTCTGTTGGTGATTCATTGTCCAATGTTACTGTTACTATTGAAGGACACAGAGATAGTTTTCGGCAAACTGAATTTCTAATGGAAAAAGCTCAGTCGAAATCCGTTTCTAATGTTTCCTTTGTATTTTATTCAGAATTGCCTGAAATATTTACCTCATGCAGCATCTCGACTCTTCAGATAGAATAATTATAAATAACGACAAGGAATTTCGATGAACGATCTCGAAAAAAAAAGCTAAGTGAATAATAGCGAATTATTTGTTTCCAATAATAACTCTTCGTAAACAAGGTGAAATTCAATCTCAGCCGAGGAACAAGTTTTATTGAAGCTTTAAATATTTTACTCCTAAATTTTTTCTATCGTGAGTACGCAGTGTTTTCAACGTACATCCCTTTTAAGAATCACATGATGGGTTAACAACCTCTTGTTTTATTTATCATGCAAATATTGAATTGGAAGTAGCCAATTCAATATTTCTGAAGTAGCGGAAAATTCCTTATTTTTAATATTTTCCCGGGAAATTTCTCCGCAGAAAGCCATCGAGGACGAGGCAGAGGACGTGGACGTGGAGGCCGTGGTCGTCGGGGAGGACGCGGTCGACGTTGACGAAATAAAGTTCCGACAACGGATCGTTTCGATCGTGAACTTTCAGAGTTTTTCGAAATACCTTCGTCAAGTTGAAGTGAATTGAGAAAGACTCAGTTTTTATATCTGCCTTACCGTTTCGTTTGGAAAATGACTGACCACCGTTGAGGGAATGAAGTCGACAAACGTTGTTTTTTTCGTTGGAAGTTGTCGTTTTCATTCTTTACTCGAATTATTTCCTGAATTTTCCTTCCAACGAGTTTTGGCATTGGTTTTTAAGCATGTTTCTCTTGTGATGCACACAGGCGTTCGCGAAAACAAAGGAAATCGGTTCAGTGTAAAAACCAACGGTTTTCGAATCTGGTGAAAGGGCGGATTAATTGGAGGATGAGCCTGACCGATTTTTAATCCTTTATAATTCCGTTCGCAGACGATAAAAATGCAAGGAAAAATGAAAGTGAAAAATAAGGGCCAAGTGCCGAACCTGAAGAAAGGAAAGACGCAGTTAATCCAGAAGAAAAAGTTGCAGAAAGCCGCAAACCGAACGACTCTCACGAAAGTCTCGAAGGTGAAGACGCAGGGAGAGAAAGTTCGCGAAGCTTTGGCTAAAGATATTCAAGACAAAATCCTATCGGATGTGACCAGAAGAGCCTCTGCTGCCGGAACCACCCTCCACATTTTGAAAACGGATGAATCCTCTTAAATAAAATTTTTTTTCTTTTCATGAGGTCGCTGCGGAAACCGTTGTTTTGGGATACCATGTTAATTCTTCGGATTTGTTCGAATTATCGTGGCTCATAAAATCTTTGAAAACAATCGAGAGGTTTCTCACTAATCTTGCGATCTCCTGAAAACCAGTACCAGCGAATTAATGATTAGTTTCTGTTTTCCGCAACGGATTTTCGAAGAATTTTCAGAAATGCATCCTTGTCAATTGTAACGTAGAGAAAAATTGATTTGTCCGTCAGTCCTGTGACGTATTTTCTAAAGAGAATCGAGTATGCGAAGTAATTTCTCTTTCTAGATGCTTTTCCATGGTTTTCTTGTTCGTGTCAGTCTTGGAAGCTAGGAAAAATTAGAAAAGCTGCTCTGGGAAAAAGCTAAATTTTTCGAACTTTATACGGAGGAAAAAAGGGAAGTTTCTCAATAATTTAGCGACTCCCTGAAAACCATTATGATCAAATTAATCATAAGCTGGATTTTCGAAGAATTTTAAAATGTGCGTAATATTTAATGGCAATGCAGAGAAAAATTAATCTGTGAATCTTGACTTTGATCCTGAAGAGAATCGAGTGCGTGAAGTATTATTATTTTTATTTCTGAAGGATTCTCTATGACTCTCATGTTCGTGTCAGGCATAATAGCCAGGAAAAATTTGAAGAGCTTCTCTGAAAAAAGCATTGCATCTTCGACTTTTGTTTAAGGAAATAACAAATAGAGACTAATCTGTTATCCTTGGATGTTATCAACGTAAAATGTTGATAATATTGACTATACTTCTGCAAACATGGTCGCTGGGAAAGCTGGTGTTGACTTACAACAGTTGCTGACTTGTGAAAATCCCCTTAACCCTCTCACCAATCACGATTAAAAAGTGGCACATCTTTTTTAAATTCGTAGGGAAATACTTTTTTTTTCATCTTCGGGAATGGGTTTCTTCAACTTGTTGAAGATAACTCAGGCGAACCGATTGCTAACATGTAAGTTTCTGCGCGCAAGATTTCAGTATGTCATATTGACGATAAATGTTTTATCTTCTTGTGTGTTCATGATACTTTTTTCAAGGCGCTGGAGGATTTGCGGAGTCGTGTGGAGTCCTTCAGGTGCAACGTCTGACAATTGTTTCAACTTCTGCGAAATTCTTGGTTCCACTCCAAAGCACGATTGAGCAAAAGAGGAACACGAATTTCTACAGAAAGCGTACGATTACATTCTTACTTGTTTCTGGTGCTTCTTGGAAGCTTGGGATCATTTATTTATCTTCTTTTTTTAACTTCATGGAGATGGAAGCGAACATATTTTCTTGAACCTTTCCTCTTCGATTTCGGAGATCCCTGGCTTCATAGTTTATCGCATAGGTGTCGCCTATAGTATCTGGTTCAATTATTTCTTACGGCTCCACGGTTACACGATCCTAATGCAATACCGTACCAAAATTTGGTTTCGAAGTACTGTAAGACGGAAGTTTGGAATATTTTTCTGGATGGATTCATTTCAAGAAATTGTCAATATTTCTTATGCCTTATGGTGAAAGATTCGGATTATGATGAAATTGTAATGTACGGTAATATATCACTGTTTTGATCATATTACAACTCATGAAGTTTCTTCGCTTCAATAGGAAATTTGTTTTCAAACAATTTTGTTTGTGGACAAGTATTTTGTTGGCGATTAGTTTAAAGACAAAATCATTTTCTTATTTCCCGGATTTTTCTTTTAATTAATTCAGGGTGTTTCAAATGCTTATTCACTTCGTATGTTTTAGATACTGCCGAGAAATTATGGAAGAGCGTGACGACAGTCAGTAACCCGGGAAAGAAACGTGGACGAGGTCGAGGAAGAAATAGAGTGTTGTCGAAGGACTTGAATCGGGGTCAAATGATCGGCCAAGGTGAGGAATCTGTGCAGCAATTTCTGCCTCGTCTTGTTAATTTCATTCGTTTTTGACTCACAACTTCATTTGCTAATGTCTCGCGAATTTCTGGCGAAATCTTGGAGCGTCAAAAACGATAGCTAAGAAATTATCCTTGAAAAGTTCAGAGTGCAGTAATGTTTGAGTAATTCATCGAACGAGAGGACATTTTTTTCGAGTTGAAATATGCAATAAATAGTGACGAGTACAGTTGAAAGTGGTTGATAATCCTGTTTTTCGAAGAGATTAATTCTTCAGCATTAACGCGAATGATGACAAAAATTGAAGTCTGGAAAAGTTTTTTAAAACTTGTTCATGGTCTGGAGAAGAACCTGGTAAATTTAAGCATGTTGAAATGAGAAAATTCAACTCAACATCAATCCAGAAAATGTTATTGATGGGAAGGTCGATGTCATGAATAAAATTCACGTGTCTTTCAATTCGAAAAGGCTCGGTAACTGCAATTCACCATCTGGGAGTATTTCTCAATTCTCCTCGCCTTTTTTTCTAGTCTGCAGAGATAAAAAAAATCAAACTTTATGTGTACTTGATTCTAATTAGAAACTTTGGACCAGTTTCACCAGAAGGAAAGGATTTTTATGGAAAAAATTCAAAATTGGTTGAATTCAGGTTCAGTGCAAGTCTAAATTTGAGTTTGGGTGTTCTCATTTTTGAAATATTGCTGTTTTAAAGGCAATAGAAAAGGTGTGAGAGTCTTACTTCAGTATACAAACACAATTGAATTGTATTATCATACAATTGAACCAAAATTTTAGACTGATGAACCTGGGTGCCTGTTTTACTTGAGGGCACAAGATGCTGAACATTTTGCCACCCTGCAATAATGCTTGTTTTCCTGACTCAAAACCTCCTCAAGTCAAATTTTTTTGGTCTTGTGAAGTTTGACCGTTTTGTATCGAAAATTCATTGCATGAGAGAGAAAATTGTAATTTGTGCTCACATGCACTGTTGGTAACTGATCTGAATTTTTAATAATTTTATCCTGAATGGCTTACGTCGTAAAGTATTTCCGTTGGACCTCGACTTGAAATTGTTCCTATCTCATGAGAATGTCCTCTCACAGGAAAGGTGAATGTCGTGTGGCCTGGTCTAAATGCACCCATTTTCCGGGGCCGGGAATTGGTGAAACAAGAAACATTACCCGAACAACCGGATCGCGACGCCAAATTGATCGAGCTTCGAAACAAAATGGGTGTGTTTCGCTCCATTAAACTCCCACCGTTGGAACGTGGCTGGTCAGGAAACTGGCTTCCTGGACGACGAATCGGTCCACCTGACCCAATCGGCGAAGGTGACCCTTTTTTCAAACGATTTCCGGAAGCTTTCCCCAACCCCCGTTAAATTGTTTTTCAAAATATTCTGGACATACACCGCTTCGAACCTAGTGGTAATTGGCGGGCTTCGATAATCAGCCGTAACCGGATTTTGGACCGTCTGAAGGAAAAGTATTTGTATTTAGGCTACAGAAACATGCCAGAGCTGAAAAAAATGAGCTTTCAATTTGTGCGTGAAGCAAGTAAACTCGGAATCTCTCTTCAACGAAATTCAAGGGTCCGTAAAAATATGGGACACAAACAATTTTGTGCATCTAGAAAATGGTTGTAGACAACATGATCGTAAAGAGATTCCATCTTCTTGGTGAATAGTTGTGGGAATTAGTATGCTACGAAGATTGCACTTCAATTGGTCAATTATGCGAGCAATATTGACGAAACACCAGGGTTTCTCGTGATGATATTTTTCCGATGATTGTGCCTGCCGTATTTCTACTAGATTTGATCTCTCAAAATACAAGTGATCTTGAGTGTATCATTGAATCCTCTATTCGTGGGTAAATCGACCAGATCCATCATTTTAAATACAGTAAGCGAATCTCAGACGGGAAGCCGAAGCTGAAAATGTGCACGTGATTACAGGTTCAGTGCGGAAACAGGTTTTTCGATGAAAAATCCATGTTATTATAGCGTTCTTTGATCTTTCATAATGATTCGTTACGTTTTTATTTTTGGAAATTTTCAGAGACGTTTGAAGGATTCGACTCCGTTGTACTTGAGGTGAGCCGATTTTTCTTTGTCCATTTTACTTGGTATATTTTGAATGATGAAAAATTTTCCCATTTTCAGTGCAAGACTGTTTCCACGATGACGGGGAATTTGGGCAGGAAATTTTCCTACAGCATTTTTGTCGTCACTGGGAATGGAGATGGTCTTGGAGGATTTGCGCTCGGCAGAGCTCCGAGTCTTCCTGCCGCTTTAAGAAAGGCCAAAAATCGTGCGGGCCAAAAATTGATGAGGGTTGAGCGCCATGAGAATCATACTGGTTAGCCACAATTTTTTTTTCATTTTTATTGGCGCAATGATTTGCTTCAAAAAATAGGAAACAATTGGTGACGTTTCTCTTTCACTTCGTGGATTATTAAGAAATACTGTGTGTTGGGCTAGAGTATGATGAAACGAATGATCTAGTGAAATGGTTATTTTCTCAAATTTTCCAAATGGAGCGAAGATGCGAACGGGGGCCGTTTACAATGTTGCCCCGAAAATTTAAAAAGTAGCAAGTACAGTACAGTACAGTATAAAATGACGTTAAATATACGATTATTGGGGCCTTGAGGGACAACCCGTATTTGTTCCAGCGGCGGGTTCATTTTCAATCTAAGACATAGTAACCAATGGGAAATCATTCACTTTGTTCCTACAGAAAAGACAATTGAGGTAAAATGAAGGAAATCAACCGTAAAAATTCAAAATTAAACACAAAGAATGTAGTAGCTGATGATGGTTTTCCGTGAAAAAAAAAACAATAACGTGAAGGATACATCAACTGATCATGATATTCCATTGAAAATAACAGTAGCGAAATTAAAAGCAAAAAGGGAATTTGAACTCTTTCATAATTTGATTTCCCTTCATATTTTGAATTCAACTTTCGTTTGTTATCCCATTTGGGATTCCCATTGTGGAACTATGGAACATAACGGCATAAAAATGAAATTTCTTGATTTTTAATTTTTTTTTAGGAAAAGAAGAGTGTTGGTAAAAAAAAATTTAATTTTTCTCATACTGTACTTGGGGGGATTTGTTCCAGTCAAGTTCGTTCCTTCACTTCCGTGAGCCAAACTGGTGACCGAACCCTAGTTTGTCATGTAAGCTGTTTGTGTCTTGAGGCGTTATTCGCCCAAGGTACAGGGTTTCATTCCAAGAACAATTATCGGACCTTATTTATAGCAGTGACCCCAATTTCAGAAGTTATATCTTCAGAAACATTCCTGTTCTACAACATAACATATCCCGAATTGTATGCATTACCATGCTCAGCATCTGTTATAATTTTTCAAAAAATTTAATTGGAACAGTCGAATTTCTCAGTCATCTTGCCTTACTGCAGATTATCTCTCTGCTATGATTTCATCTACGAATATTCTCTATATTCTTTGCGCACGTCTGTTTGAGTAGATTCTCTGTAACCAATTTCTCCAAACGAGTAGTAGATTTTATCTTGTGTGTCTGACTATTTTTGTGGCAGCGCCATTTGCACACCGGTGGGAACAAATGGCGGGGTGCTTTTCTGTGATGTACCCGCACTTCATTTTTCTGTGTTGTTTTCGTAAAGAAAGTCGTGGGAAATTCCCATACCGAATTTTTATGGGGCATTTTCTGAAAGTCTGAGGAGTTCACCTGTCCTGATTTGATGTTTTGTTCGTAGTTTTGCATGATTTCCATGCGAACTTCGGGAAGAGCAGAATCAACGTGCACAAAGCACCGAAAGGCTTCGGTTTAGTCTGTCATCGAGCGATCAAGTCGATCTGTGAAGTCATAGGCATCAAAGATTTGCACGCGAAAAAGGAAGCCTGTGCGAGAAAGACTGTGCAGAATTTAACGAAGGCGTTTTTCCTGGGGTTGCTTCGACAGGTTCGTGATCACATGTCATCGTGGATTTCTCGTGTCAGTTTCGAATACTTTACCCTTTTTCGCATCCCATTTTTATTAGAAAAGCTATCAAGAAATGTCTGACGAAACTAAACTGTTGCTGGTGGAGAGAAACCCGGATCGTTTGGGATTCCCGCGTTTGCTGGCTGAACCCTCTGAGCCAATTCCTGACGAAAAAATTGGGCACGTGCCCGACTTTCAATCGTATTGCTTTGGCGGACGAGTGGAACATGTCAAGAAGAAGGACTCGCAGTGGTACAAGAAACTACCTGGTTGGCAGACTCATTTGAAACGCACTCATCCGTTTAGAAACATGCCTAATGTGAGTAATGTATGACAATACTGCATTTGACCGGAAAGACTTTTCCGGTCATCCTTGTTATTTCTCGTTGAAAGTTTGTTGAACAAACGTCAGGAAAAATAGGCTTGCTTCAGTTGGTGTGGCCATATTCAATGTGATATTGTACTGTATAAGGCATTTTTGTCGTTCAGTTGACCCAAAACAATGCGAATGTTTGTCTTTTTCAACGCAGTATTCGATAGCAAATAGGTTATTCTCGGATCCGCAGCTGAAGTTTAGGATGGGTTCTGATAAAGAAAATAAAATACAATTTTGATACAGTTGAATCTGGATAATTCGCATTTTTTCAAGTCCCCGCCTGAATTTCCTTAGAAACAATGCATTAAAAACCTCTCCAACTCGCAAGTTTTTTCCTCTCAAACCTCCGTAATTTGAATTTTTGAGGCCTCTTCGCTGTTATTTTCTTGACAAACAAAAGAGAAGAGCAATGAAAAAATAAATTTGATATGTTCTGAAAGGAAGTGAAAGGCTAATTTGGCAAATGAACCCTTGCTCGCAAGTGCGGCATTCTGTCAACTCATTCAAGAAGCTGTTCAAGGTACAGAATGTTACCAATTACAATTGCCTGCAATTATTCTATGTTTTCCACAACAAAAATGCTTGCTTCCCAACTCGAAACCTGTCCCAAGTCAAAATGTTTTTGCTGTTTCTTTGAAATTCGACTTGGAGAGGTTGTACTGCATAACAATACAATGGTGGTGTCCGGAATTCAGTTGAATGAAGCATCAAAATTGTGTTTTCATGCTTGCAAGAAATATAATCCTGAATTATTTCGGTATTTTTTAAAGATATTAGACTGGTGACTGAAGCATGCATAGAATCAGCAAGACTCTCATTACTGTATTCTGAATACTGTATTCTTGAAATCAATATAACTCCGCACTGAATTCGCTGCCAGTATCGTTCAAATATTTCTCAGACAAATATGTGCCTGTTACTGTTAACGTCTTTTTTTCCAGTGAATTCTTAACAGTATTGTGGATGAAGATGATTGTTACCGTGCGGGGATATTTTAATATATAAGTATCGTGTTGACTTCTTAATTTTTATACTTACAGGAATTGATTTAGTGTCTGTAGGCGTCAATTGAAGTAAAATTTATCATTTTATGCTCGTTAATTTTACACAAAGTCATGCTGAGTTCAGTCACACTCCTGTGTTTCTCCTGTTCATGTTCTTGTGATGCTGGAGGATGGGGGTTCAGGGTAGAATCTGAATGATTGCACAATATCCAGAATTCTTTGATTTTTATTTTTCAATGGATTCTCTCACTTTCAAGAATACTTTCCAGTGTGCAATTCATTTTTTGACATAGTTTCGGCGGATCCCGTGAGAAAAGCGGAGAGATGGGCATAACTACTCGAGTATTCTTGAAATACTGTATCATTCGAAATTCCGGTATTCCAAGACTAGTTATGCTTCTGTATGTGCTGTACCATATTCACTTCTCTTTCGGTTCCTGTGGAGTTTTCCTTGCATTTTTTATGACTCGCGGGTTTTTTCGAAGAACCACGATTTGAAAGAAATTTTAAAACCTTTTTCTTGCGATTGTAGGTGAGGATTCGGATGCTTGTGGACCACGGAGAATTGCGAAGTCATTTGACAGATAAATACCCCGAATGCGTGTCACCGAACGTTGCCAAACGGAGACCGAAGCAAGAAAGTTGATCAGTTTTTTTGTTTTCCGCCAGACATGTTTGTGAAAATTTCGTAGTGCTCCTGTGATTTGAATTCTTATCATATTGGGAAAATTCCCCGTTTTGTTCCCGGAGGAAGTCAACGGGGAACATAACTGAGAAATCTTGAAGATCTTGTTGCGTCGAATTAAAGTTTCGAATGCGAGTCCGGGACTAGGACTATAGCGTTGATTGATGACAACTGTGGTTTTGGCAGCGCGCCGAAATCGTGTTGTTATTCGGCGATTTTGTGACTTTCTGGTGCATCCGATTCACATAAAAAAACTGTTAGTCCGTTCCAGACGCTCACAAAAAGACCATTTCAACCCTAAAAAATTACCTTTATTTGCGAGTTTTCAGCCAAAAATTGTAAATTTAAAATTGATTACCGTATTTACTTGAGTACCTTGCGCCCTCAAGTAAGAAACGCATCCAGTTTTTTTTATTCAAAATTTCAATTAAATTGTATCCGTGAGTAAGACGTTCACTCCATTTTAAGTGACTAAAACCATATTATTTCCAGAATAAGCCCAAATTTAAGTTCAGACGTGAATTACCTAAATTCAACTAATTTTCAATTGTTTCCATTGAGATAATTTTTTTGTGAAATTCGGTCCAGAATTTCATATTAGGTTTAATTGTAACGCACACTTGAACATATATATATATGTATATATATATATATGTATATTTTATTTTTTATTTTATTTATTTTTTAATGTATACCTGTCTGTGATGCGCCCACCATTTTCCTCTCAAATTTGCGATAAAAGGTGCAAGTTGTACCCAAGGTAATGTAATACAGTATTACGAGTTAATATTCCTAGAATTTATCAAATTCTAAGACAAGATTTAAGGCAATCTTCTCTATTTATTTTTGATATTTCAATAGAAATTCCAAAGGTTTAACTCAAAACTTGATAGAGCTTGAGGATTTTTTGGTCGAAAAATTTCGTTGTATGAAACAATTTCGTTATACAGTATGAATCACTCTCATCCCTTTGAACAGTTCGAAATGGGAGATTTTCGTTGTATGAGGTTTTTGTAAAGCGGGGATCATTTGATAATGGCTTATTTGAGACCTCATTTCTGACGTGTACCCAATTATATTGAGTTGAATTTATGATGGTTACAATATTTTTTTGTGGTCGGAAACACTGGTTTGTCACAACGTCTGGATATTTTTCATGGCTGTGATCTAAAGAGAAAAAAAGCGTTGAATTGATAACCAGGACGTGTGGCCTTCTCCACAGACTCTTCTCGAGTGTCATTTTATGGTTCTTTCTCGAGTCCAGTGGAAGAAGGGTTTGAAATGATGTGAAAGCAGCAACTATGTTCAGAGTGTTGAGAAGAGGAGCGGTTCGTCGAAACTGGGCCCCTTTCGTGATCGGCGCCGTTTTCGGAGCACTGGTGGCGTCCGTCTCGTCGCCCACTCGTGACGGGTGGCTGTTTGACTGGCGGCCGAGCTACGACCTCGTCATCCTCATTACGTCCTCCGTGGGCTACACAGACCGGCGCCACACGATCCGCGACACTTGGCTCACACAACGGCCCGGCAACGTCAAGGCCCTCTTCTTGGTCGGCAAACAGCGGGTGGAGCCCGGGGTTTTGGCGGCTGCCGACTACGAAGGCAGGGACCACGGCGACGACGTCCTCATGGTCGACACTCGCGACGACTTTGACTCACTCACTGCCAAGATCGTCGCCGGGTTCCGGGCCGTGTTGGACAAGTATCGGACCAAGTTTGTGTTGAAGGTGGATGACGATAGTTTCGTCAACTTGCCGGAGTTGATGAAAGCGTTGGAGTCGAAGCCCGAGCAACGGTTGTACTGGGGGTATTTCACGGGGAGAGCGAACGTCAAGTCGGGCGGAAAATATGAAGAGGGCGGATGGTTTCTTTGCGACAGGTTCGTTGCGTCGGAAGTTTTTTTTTTTTTTTTTTTTGGGGGTTCATTTGGTCTGTGTGCTGATATTTCGGGAAGCTTTTGTTAATTTCCTCCCGAAGCATTTTGATTATTCACGAATTTTTTTTGGGCTTGAAGAGACTTTTGTGGAGAGAATTTACTGTCAATTTGTGTGGATTCTACTTCTCGAACCTATTGTATCTCTGTTTACGTAGAAATGTCACTTCATTTTGTTTCTTACTTTTGCATGTAAAAGTTTAAACTTGACGAGACGCCACTATTTTTTTTAGGTTTGTGGTGGTTTGTAAGGGGTTAGTTGTTTTTATCAAAAAAGCTGAAAGAATGTGAACTTCAAGTACTGTACTGTAAAGTTGAACTGCCTAGGTCAAATTTTTTTCAAGTACTGTACCTGTCTGAATTCCTGTAGATGCCATGTATCAAAAACCTCCCTAACTCTAAGTCCTTTTCTTTGAAACCTCCGTAAATTGAATTTTCTCAAGCCTTATGGTTATTTTTTTCTTGACAAAGGAAAGAGAAACGCCATAAAACAAGTAATGTAACTTGATGTGTTTTGAAAGGAAGTGACAGACTAATTGAGCAAATGACTCCCTGCCTCCAAGTTCAGCATGCTGTAAACTCATTCAAGAAGCAATTGCAGGCCCAGAATATCACCATTTACAATTTCCTGCAATTCTTCTATGTTTCCCACAACAAAAAGCTTCTTAACCTAACTCAAAACCTCCCCAAATGGATAACCTTAAGTCAATTGAGTTTGCTGGTCCCTTGAACTTTGACTTACAAAGGCTTGACAGTACTTTCCTGTTATCTCAGTGCCTCATTCCTAGACCGCACTACCATCCAGGGAAATCTTTAGGACGAGTTCATAATCCGAATGACCTACCAGAAACTGAATTTTATTTTTCCGCATTCTGCTGAAACTGATTTTGGCATGTGGTTAGGTAAAGTTAGGTTAGGTCAGGTTATGTTAGTTACAAATATCTTTTAACTAACTTTACCTAACCCAAAATCAGTTTCAGCNTTAGTTACAAATATCTTTTAACTAACTTTACCTAACCCAAAATCAGTTTCAGCAGAAACCCAAAGAAAGCAGAAACTGATTTTGTGAGGCAGTTAGGTTAGGTCAGGTTAAATTTGTCAGAGGGAAGGTACAGAGATAACAGGAAAGTAGGTACTGAGATAACAGGAAAGTACCGGCTTGACTTGTTAGGAAATTAATTTTTTTAGAAAATGATCAAAATAACCCTGGGGTTTTGCGCAACTCCTTGTATTCAATTTTCTGCACAGGATCTGTCATTTTTGAAGTAGAAAGGAGAACATTTTTTTTTTCAAGAGGGCAGTAAATGGCCTGGTTTCTACATTTTTGCGCAATTCAGATTGGGTTGAACAATTCAAAGAAAAGGGTCTATCCCAGAGAAAACACCACAAACGACTTTCTCTAAAATTTGAGCATGTTATTATTATTTTTTTTTGAAAGGAATTAGGTTTATTCTGAAAATGATGGTCAACTTTCTCTGAAACTGTGCGTTCAAATATTTTTATGGTGATTAATTTTTAAAAGACGAAGAACCCAACCGGAGGCACTTTTTTCTCCAGCTCTTTCACTTTGAAAGACAGAAAGGGCGTGAGTTGATTGCTTTTTCGGAATCACCTTTCGTCCATCGATTTCAACGTTTCCGCTTTTCCAAACGCAAGAAATTCGCAGAAAAAGTTTAGTACGTGTGGGAAATATTGATACGGTATAAGCAATTTGGATCCAATTTTCCCCGGAACCACGACGAAGCGATTTTTCCTTTGATTCTATATCCCCACTAGATTGTCCAGCCATAGATACTTTCTCAAAATTTCACACGCAGACTGCGCCTTTTACAGATCGTGTGGATCGTGGTTCAATTATTGCTGAGAAAAATGTGAAATTGGGTCTTGGTTTTTTTGCGTTGTGTTACCGCACGTTATTCGTATAACGTGACGTGAATTTTTGCACTGCTGCACGGGTTTGTTGTACACATGCAGTGCAGCGGGGTCTTGAGCAACGAACGCCCAAAGCAACGAAATATGTTACATAACGAACTCTGGTTTGGACGCAATTTTCCTTTGAGCGACGAACTTGACTCGAGGAACAAACCTTGAGTCAAGTGAGTGACGAGGGAAAATTGAAAAAAAAAATTTCTTCGAAAATTCCACAAAAGAATAGCCATGAATCTCAATAAAAGGCATTTTTCGATGTTACACCACGGCCATTTTGCTTTAAGCAAAGAACTTCACTCGATGAACAAAACCTCTAGTCGAGCGAGAAAATGGAAAAGGTATCATTTGAAATTTCTAAAAATGAATAGCCATAAATCTCATCACAGTTCTGTTCAACGAATTTTTTGTCATGCCAAATTTTCTCTTAGTGAAATCTAACTTTACAGTGAAATCTCGCTGCGAGGATTTTCTTTAGTCGCTTACTTGAATTTAACAGTTGACAGAAAGCGACTAAAGAAAATTAAAACCACTTCTTTGAAAATTCTTAAAATTAATGACCATGAATCTCGTTTTAACGGAATTTTCTTCATAACAAATTTCATTTCGGCTCCCTGAGATTTCCTCGCAGCGAGATTTCACTGTAAAGTTCAACCTCAATAACTCGAACCTCCTCAAGTCGAATATTTTTCTGTTCCCGTCTCAGTTCCTCAGGAAACAATGCATTAAAAAAATAAAAACCTCCCTCACTGGAAGGTCTTCCCTCTCAAACCTCCGTAACTCGAATTTTCTGAGACCTTTTTTCTTGACACAGGAAGGAGAAAAGCAATGAAAAAGTTACCTTATGTGTTTTGAAAGGACAGGAAAGACTAATTGGGCAAATAAACCCTTGCCTCTCATGTTCAGCATTCTGTCAACCCATTTAAATATCAATTTAAGGCCCAGAATAAAACGAAATCACAATTTCCTGCGATTTTTCCACCTCTTCCACAGAAAAAATGCTTCTTTCCCTAATTTGATACATATTTTTTTTGCTGGTTGCATTGAAATTCAACTTGGAGCTATTTGACTGTACAGTGAGACCCCAAGATGCGGACATAATTGGGGCATCAAGAGTGTCCCCAAGTCAAAATGTCCCTAAGTTGAGTCTTGTTTTCCCATAGACTTACAATAATTTATAAATGGTGTTTTGTGAAAGAAATATTCTTCAGAATTCCCTGAAAAAAATGTTGCAACTTGAATTTGAATTAGTGAATACATTTTCAACTTATTTTTCCACCTCTTCCACAGAAAAAAAATGCTTCTTTTCCTAATTTGATATATATTTTTTTTTGCTGGTTGCATTGAAAGTCAACTTGGAGCTATTTGACTGTACAGTGAGACCCCAAGATGCTGACATAATTGGGGCATCATGAGTGTCCCCAAGTCAAAATGTCCCTAAGTTGAGTCTTGTCTTCCCATAGACTTACATTATATAATTTATAATTGGTGTTTTGTGAAAGAAATATTCTTCAGAATTCCCTGAAAAAAAATGTTGCAACTTGAATTTGAATTAGTGAATACATTTTCAACTCAATAAGAACATTTGGAGCATTGAATAGTG